GTGCAGCCCCGCCCCTCCCGGATGGCAGAGCAGCCAGCCAGCAGCTTTGGCTTGGAGCCCTGAGGAGGGGGAGGCAGGTGCTGAGCTGGGCCATGACACCCCTGCACCCCAAACCTCCCACTACTCCACCAGGAGCCACCCCAGGCACAGCAGCCAGCAAGGAAATACCCAGCTCTGCAGGGAAAGACTCCACCGGCAAGGAAATACCCCATGTGGCAAGGAAATACCCCATGTGGCAAGTCCTCAACACAAGGAGGACATGGAGCTGTTCTTCACCCATGAAGGCTGGGTGGGTGTCACTTCCCCCATTATCAGTTGGCACAGATGCCCAGTTTCAATCAACCAAACCAGTCTGGGATTCTGTGGTTCTACAAAATACCCCAGGGGGCAAGAAAATAACCCTGCACAGCACTGCCCGGTGTGCTGTGCCCACCTGGAGGGGCCAAGCTGGGGACCCAACTTGGGTGGCAGTAAGAACTGGGTGGAGGGGAGGAGGGAGCAGGGGGATCCCAGCACGGTGGGGTGTGCACTGATGAGGAAGCTGGGGTGCAGGGAGCACCCCGGTGCTGGGTGCGGTGACTTGCCCAGCGCTCCCCGCGGCCGCCCGCCCGGCCTGGCGCTGACACAAGCACATGACAAAACGCTGAGCCAGCACTTCCAGCGAGGCTAAGAATAATAACATCCCTCCCGGCAGCTTTCGGTTCCTCTGCCGCTCTATGCGCCGGCGAACAAGCCCCTGACCACCGGCAGGCTGTGGCAGACATCACCCACCCTGCCACCCCTGGGGGCTGGACTCACAGGTGTCCCCTTGGAGACATCAGTGCTGCATGATGGAGCAGGACCCCTCCATGCTCATCCCTACCGCCCAGCAAAGCCCAACCGACACCGAGCACGGCACGACAGAATCCTGGCTGGGCTGCTGAATGCTCCTGTGAACCGTGACCACCACCCCATCACTGATGCCAGGCTTCAGACCAAAAAAAACAACCCACTCCATTTGGTTTTGCTGACCAAAACCCATCGATTTAGCTCCAAGCCCACAACAAAGCCACCTCCACCACGTCCCCAACCCAACCTGGGGTGTAGAGGGGGAGATGGGACAACTCAATGACTCCACGGGCACCCAACCAAACAGTGTTTGGTCGCTTTTCTTTTTCCTTCCTCCCTTCCTCGACCCAGGACTCGCTGTACTTCGGGGCCGGAAGCAGAGCATGAGAGGACTCAGCCCTTATCAACACCAAAAAGAAAGTTCTTAGAAGTCACTTACCCAATGGGTTTGGTGCTACCATGGCAGCTCACAGCACCCC